TGCAAATCATATATCTGATAAGGGATTACTATCTAAAATATATAAGGAACTCACACACTCAACAGCAAAAAAATCATAAATAATCCAATCAAAAATGGGCAGAGGACCTGACTAGACATTTCTCCAAAAAAGAAATAAAAATGGCCAACAGCTATATGAAAAGGTGCTCAACAACACTAACCATCAGGGAAATACAAATCGAAATCACAACAACGTATTACCTCGCACCTGTTAGGATGGCCACTGTGGAAAAGAGGAGAGCTAACAAGAGTTGGTGAGGATGTGAAGAAAGGGGAACTCTTATACACTGACGGTGGGAATGTAAACTGCTACAGCTATTGTGGAAAACAGTATTAAGGTTCCTCAAAAAAGTAAAATTAAAAACTACCTTATGACTCAACAATCACACTTCTGGGCAGATACCCAAAGGAAATGAAATCAGTATGTGGAACAGATATCTCAACTCCCATATTCATTGCAACATTATTAACAATAGGCAACATATGGAAACGAGCTAAGTGTTCATCAACAGTTGAGAATAAAGAAATTATAGTACATACAGTATATATAAGGGAACATTATTTAGCCTTAAAATAAGAGGAAGGGGTGATGGAGGCCAGACGCTCACAAAGCTGGAGGAGTGGGGAGGCTGGCTGAGGGCTCTGTTCCAAGGCTCAGCGTTCAGGAGCCCCACAGGCCTCTGATATCAGTTCTTTATATGAAGCAACTGGGCAGCTGGGTAGACACAGGTAGCCCATTCAATTCACCAGCTCTGGGGCCGGAGTATGTGAGATGGGCACCCAGAAAGTGGAGTGGGACAGAGGAGGAGCCAGGGAAAGGAAGGGGGCCCACAGCTGCTTCCTTGTGGGTCCAGGGCGACACAGGCTACGTTCTAGCAGGGCGAGTGTTCTCACACTGAGACAAAGGGCAAATCTCTTCAGCAGAGCTGGGTGTGGGAAGAGGAAGAATTCATCATCCTCTTGCTGTGACTGGAAACAGAACAAGTTCTGTGACTAAACACAAGCCTGGGAGTCTATCTTCTTGGCAGCCTTGTGAGGTGGTGTGTACATTAAAAAATATTCACTTAGGCTGGGTGTGGTGGTGCATGCTTATACAGCTACTCGGGAGGCTGAGGCAGGAGGATCACTTGAGCCGAGGAGTTTGAGGATGCAATGAGCTGTGAGGAGGCCACTGCACTCCAGCCTGGGTGACAGAGGGAGAGCCTGTCTTAAAAAAAAGAATTTAAATTCCAAGGTGAGTGTTATGCTTGCATTTCTGTCTTCAGTGTAGCTCATTCAGGGAAGGAGAACAAAGCTAAGGAAAGCTGGGGACCAGCCTACTGATGACACTCACCACAGTCAGGGCCCCTGCAGATGAGGAATACAATCCTAAGGCACAGGGTTTCAATAAAGAGGCTCCGCATTTGGTTCGGCCCAGTGCAGAATATAAAACAAGCCAGGCATTCTCATGCAGTGCTCCTCTTAGGGAGTTGTCACAAATGACAAGTAGTTTTTCTGCACTTCAAATGATGGCAAATAATAATTCATTAACATCAATAGGTATCACCTTAGAGGAAACAAACAAGAAGACTATGACCAAAAAAACAAGCCAACTGCTTTGCAAGCTTGGAGGCTTCTTGGCTGCAGCCCTTCCCTGCATACCCTCACCACCTGAAGGACACTACCCCCCTGTAAGGGAGCAAGAAATTACAGCTATTTTTAAACTGCTAATGTCTCACCTTTTCCAAGATGCTAATACTTCTACCACTCAGTGGCCCAGCACTTCTGGGAGAAACGTGGCACCTTGCGCAATTCGTGGCTGCACAACTTCCTTCTGAGAAATTAAGACTCTTTTCCTTTCTAACTAAAGATCAAACCACAGGACCCACTTGGAGTATGACTGCACTGAAATATCAGATTGCAAAATCCACCTGATCGCCACAATGGCCCCCACACAACACAGACTTACCTCCACCTACCCTGGGCCTCTCATAACACAGGGCTGGATCTTCACCGCCTGCCCCAGCCCTCCCAGCTCAGCACCTTGCACTGGGCAGGGCACACATGGGGTGCTTGGGAAAAGGGGGGCACATAAGTACCTTGCCTGCAGGGCTGCAGTGCCCTGCCATGAGTATCCTCTGAGACGCCAGCAGCCTTGGTGAAGAGCACAGCATGTGAATGTGGGGAGCTGGCACAAATTCAATCCACAGCACCTCTGGAATGCCTCAGTTGCCAGCGCCGTGAGAAGAAAGGCTGCTGACGAGCCCCAGAGTGCCTGAGGGGCAGCCCTTGCCCATGCGCAGAGGCCTCCGCCTCCCCCCACCGCTTCCACCGTCATGGCCCAGGGCACAGAAGGACACCACAGCCAGACTCTACAAGGGTCAAGAAGTGACCCAAAGGGCAAGCTAAGCAAAGAAGCACTTTGGTGCAGACTAAGCAACCATCAACCATCAGAGCAGTCTCTGCACATTCTGTATTGACAGCCTCCTCTCTCAGGTCCAGCCCACCCTTCTCTTTACCCAACCTCCACCCCAAGCCCAAACTACTCACCACTCAGCCCTGCCAACCTGAGGCAGATGGAGGGAGCAAGCCTCGAGAGGGGTTTACACTGAGCTCTACTGCCATTTGTTGCAAGTGCTTTGGGCCCCCGAAACTTGACAATCACCAGTACCCCGGCAGGACAGAAACAGTGACCTCAGGAGTTGTTCTGCTCCTCTCTTGATGGGTTTCATAAGGTCAAAGAACCTTAGTTGGGCCCTGTCAACCCAGCAAAGACGTATCCTGACCTTGGAGTCAGAAGGGATCTAGCTTGGTGTGCCTCAGTGGGCTTCCCTGGGCTCTGCCAGGCCCTGGAGCCATTTGAGAGCCCCCAGGTGAACCCTCAGCGGGGCAGGAGGTGTAGAAGAGACTCAGAGCCTCCTTGAGCTTGCTCTTTTGTGGACTTGCACTTCGGTCCAGCTCCTTCAGTTTCTGCTTGCTGAGTCGGCTCCCCCAGAGCCTGTCCCACCCCAGGCTGTGGGTCAGGCCTCTTGCAGCAACACAGCTGCAACCTGGGCAAGCTGCTAACCTCTCTGAGTCTCAGTTCTTCTTGGGTAAAGTGAAGCATTCACCTGGTGAGGCTTTGCAAAAGTCAAACAAGAATTACCCCATAAAGTGCCTACTACGGTTTGAATGGGTCCAAGATTCACGCTGAAGCTTAATCCCCATTGTGCTGGTATTAAGAGGCAGGGCCTTTGGGGAAGTGACTAAGTCATGAGGGCTCCGCCCTCATAAATGGATTTGTGCCTTATAATAGGGCTGGAGGGAACTAGCTTAGGCCCTTTTGGCCCTTCCCTCTCTTCTGCCCTGTGAGGACACAGTGTTTGTCCCCTCCAGAGGATACAGCAACATGGCGCCATCCTGGAAGTGCACAGCAGCCCTCACCAGACACCAGTCCTGCTGGCACCCTGATCTTGGGCTTCCCAGCCTCCAGAACCATGAGAAATACATTTCTATTGTTTATAAATTACCCAGTCTGTGGTACAAGTGCTCAGTGTTAACCACGATGATGACTGGGTAAAGAAGATGGGACAGTCTAGCTGTCAGCTTCTACCTGCTCCTCCTCAGCTGACATCTGGGCCTTTCTCACTGCAACTCCCCAGGCACTAAAACACTCTCCACTCCAAGTACAGCAACAAGTACCCCAAACCCCTTTCCCTGGCTTGCTTAGCTCCTGGCTTCTGCTGCAGGTGGAACCTTAAAGCTGGAATCTGAGAAAGAGACTCAAGTCCTATCAGGCCCACCCAGGTGAGGTGCTCGGGCCCTTGCTCCACCCCTGACCCTGCCAGGGTAAACCCTCCAGCACTGTAGCAGACTCTGAATTAAATCTAGTGTTCTCCCAGACTTCATAGGTGAGACCAAGATGTAAAAAATGATTGTCTCCTCTTCTTTTAACCAATCACCCATTAGGCTGGATAACCCAAAGCTAAGTCAAAATTCAGGGGCAGAGGGAGAACAAGAAGAGAGTACTCTGTTAAGTCTCTAGAAACCCAGTGGCTTCCTGTTCCCATCTGTCCCCAGTTTATCAGTGACCTGCGTCTGGGAAGGCCCAGTGCATTTACGTGCTCCTGACATTAGATTCCTTTAGGACATAGAAATGCCGGCCATCCCCATGTTGTCCACCTAATACGACACGAAAGCAGGCAGTTCTCACACACTGCTCAACCCTTCTTTGCTTTCTAGCTGCTGTACACACAACAAATGTAAACACTTATTATAAAGTAAAGTAAAAAGTACTGCAAATTACAAGCTCCTTAAAGGAAGCAGCTGTTTTTTCATCTTTTGGAGGCCTCATGACCCTAGGAAACTGCCTGTGTCTCTAAAAATTATTAAAGTTTCCTCAATAAACACTTGCAAAATTTACACTCAAACACACAAATGAATGCATATCTGCACACACACATACTCTCACGAATTTTATCAATCCTTCTCCAAAGATAAAGTCTTCTGTCACCAACACGGATACAGTGAATACAGCTAGCTCTGGGACGCTACTTATATTACTAACTCTACGAAGAGAACTAATTTTGCACACGAATCGCCATAAGCTTTGACCTGAATAAAATAGGAAAAGATCCTAAGAGATTATGGAACTCAACTCCCTCCCTTTTACAGACAGAAACTGGTGCTGAGAGTCAGGGAGAGAGGAAGATGATGGCAGCTCTGAACCCAGTCTTAGGCCTGCGGCTCTCAGCACCGTATTTTTTTGGCCAGCATTCTGGCAGACCCTGGGAATATTCCCAGTGCATGAGACACACCACAGGTTCCAATACCACCTCTTTGCCATTAATCATCTGCGTGGTACCAAGTCCTTCCACGGTAAGCGATAAGCAATCATGTTTTTTAATCTTTTCAAACAGATATTGCTATTCAGCAACAAGCTGCTTTATATCCCAAAAGGGCCTGCAGTCAAACTTCCTTTTGTTTTAGGATATCAAAACAGCTCACATGGATGACCATTACCTTTAACAAGCAACTTGTCTCTCACAGAAACTCTCCGAGTGGAGTCGGACGCTGTGGCTGACGTCCGGGACCCTTTGAGACCGTCATCGCGCTTCAGTTTGCTTGCTAGCGTTAGCATTACTGCCACCTTTACCCTGAAAGACAGCAAGGAAGGCAGGGTAAGGACTGTGTCTCTAGACAATGACTAGACATTGAAAAAAATCTACAGGTTTTTTTTAGTTTTAATTTTTTTTCTGTAATTTAGTTATGAAAAAATTCTGCACATATTAATAAGACTGGATTCCTTCATAATGAATTTGGGTAAGCTCTATGCCATCCTCTGTAAGTCTAACTTTTTAAAGTGTGAATTAAAATTTTTACAAAAGGAGAGTTGCATTTAACAGTCGCTGGGTACACACTGTGTGCCAGGCCCTGGGATGTGCTTGTGACAAAGCTCCCAGGAACACATGGTCTGGGGGCTCCACAGCTTTTCCACCAGCGAGCCCCCACCAATGGGTCCCCATGCCCCCCACCGCCCACTGGTAAGTCTGCCTTCCCTGATGCAGAGGACCACATGCCCGTCAGGCTCTGGTGGAGGGGGCACCACAATGCTTTGCTTCCCTTCCTCCTTTAACGAAGGTATGGACAGAGCCTCAAAAGGCATGTTCTCATGATTCATGTTGTGTTGCATTCATGTTGTGTTTTATTTATTTATTTATTTATTGGCAATATCAGCATCAAGACTAAGTTATAATTCATGCCCCAAACTAGAGTTTCTTCATCAGCTGCTTGCCACCCACCTGTGTTTCAGGCTACGTCACTGAAAGCTCACTGGGAAGGACGACAAAGACTGAACACAGGAGATGCCCCTGACTGCGTAGGAGAAGGGCTGAAGAAATGCCACCATTTTTTTTAAGACTTTATTATTCTTTTAGAGCAGTTTTAAGTTCACAGCAAAATTAAGCGGAAGGGACAGAGATTTCTCATATGCCCCCACCCCTACACAGGCACAGCCTCCCCCATTATCAACATCCCCCACCAGAGGGTGTCTTTGTTTCACCTGATGAACCTACGTTAATACATTATTATCACCAAAGTCCACAGGATGCTACCAATTTTAATAAGTGTAACTATCCTCTAGAATCTGCCTTCCATTTCTAACATAAACTGACATTCCTCCTAACTATTGTTTACTTTACACATGGTTCCAGAGAGGGACTCTGGAACTTCTTTTGATTGAGGAAAAAATTGGTCACCACTTCAATATTTCCAGAATTTCCTTTGTTGCTTTCATATCCTTTTGTTGCTTTTCAATATCGCCCTGATCATTTTCAACAGAAAATGATTTTAAAATTCCATATGAAAAGCTTGACCTAAGCACAGAAATTTTAGTTTGAGGCTAAGATCCTTAAAGCCCAAATATCAGAATACTACTCTCCTCGTTGGTATTTTAAACCACGTTAACCCAGGTCTCTTACACAGTTCCTCACACCATCCTCTGCGTATCCCCTATAGGCTATCAGATTTTATTTTCTATTTTTGTGTCATGACAACAACACACTGAGTATGATCTTCTAAAATGTATATGGTCTTTTCCATGCTGAGGACATGGACATACACACACAATCCCTAAGCCCCTTAAGAAGCACTGGTCCGAAGGTTTCAAAAGACAGTTCTGCACGTGAGCAGGCACAAGCTTAGAACTGCAAACCTGGGAAGGATTTCTGCCCCTACTCCCACTCCACTTTACCGAGTGGACCCTGGGACAACAGGGGCCCAAAAGATGAGTTGTCCAAAGCCACTCGGCTGCTGGAAGCAGTCACCACAGGAAGACTAGTTTTCCTCTTGCGGATGACGGAATGTTTTTATCTTGACTGTGGTCATGATTTCAGGGATATGTATGTATGTCAAGACTGATCAATTACATATTTTAAATATGTGCAGTTTAGTGTGCCTCAATTATACCTCAATAAAGTTGACAAAAATGTGAAAACAAACCAATACTAGTTTCTTCATTCCCACCCTGCCATGCCTTCTCCTCAGATGGACCTAACACAGGCGCACAGACCAGAAGAGTGAACACACACATTGTCACGGCTTCACCCAGGGCAAGGCAACTATCAGTTCAGTTCATGAAGTCACTTCACAAGAAACAGGCAAAACACCTGTGGGGACTTCAGTGCACAAACTACCAGAGACAGCAGCACCACCTGGAGCCAAGCTCTCCTGCCTCGGCCCCCACCTGGAACGATCCTGTGAGGATTCCTTCAGGCGGATGTGGACCACAGAGCAGTGTTTGCCTCCCCGGCCAAGTCCACTGCCATGAGCCCAGACTTGAGCACATCAGTCAAGATCACTAGGCGATGGGCCAAGATATGCATCCATTTATTTGGGGGTCTGCTGGAAGCACCGGACGCTATGTACAAGTACCACCAGGTTTTATCCTCTGGCTAACCTTGGCAATGCAAATAGAGCAAAAAGTTAAAAATAAGATAAAAGCACAATGTGTGTTAAAGAGTTCAGTACCCTAGGAAAGTCCTTAGGAAAGTCAAAATGGCGAGTCCCATAGAAAATCAAGCACCGGGTCCACACCCAGCTCCCTGAGGACCTGCCCTGAAGGAACGACTCAGAGGAGCCTGGCAAGAGCGATCACTCACATAAAGGTTCACCACCGAGACACTCTCCTGTGCCCCTGCAGCCTGCGGGCTGTGCTTAATGCTTTTGTACCTCCACCACCCTATGCCGAGTCTTCTCTGTGGGCAAAGGATGCCCCACACCCAATTCCACTGGAAGAGTCAATTTCCTGGCTTGCTATCTTCAACACGTTTGTGGCCCTTAATAAAACATATTGGGCACTGACTGTGCAAGACATAAGATGATATAACACTGGTGTTTTGTTTTCCATAGAAGATAATACGAAATGTACTTTCCTAATATTCTAGGAAATCTAAGTATATAGCGACCATCTATTTATCTGTTGTCTGTATCATAATCACATACCACTTTAGGGATAAACCAAAGGTCTAATTTGAGAATGTTTCCATAGCTGTAAAATTAAATCTATACAAAAGGATTCAAACTAAAGTCATTATTCAAACTGTCAAGAAGTTAGCTGAATGCATGCAGTTGCTTCGGAATTCTCTTTTCCTTCTTCAATATGCCTCATCTCTTGAAGATCTGGTTTAAAACTAAACTTCCTCTTTACTTCAAATTACATTCTGACTAAGGCAGCATTTTGGTAACACATCAGCTCATCTGAATAGCATGCTCAGTCTCTAAATTCCACAAGCTGTAATTGGCTCAGTTAAGTTCCTCCTCTGGGTGGGACCTGCTTTCAGACTGTCCAAAGAAGAGATTCTTGTGTGCCAATTACTAGTGTCAGCATCAAGTGATACGTACTCGTCATCACTCCTGTGTAGAGTGGCAAAACCAGGCCACGTCACCTGTGCAGGGACATCAGGGCCCAGTCAGCTCAAGGTGAGGGGAACTTATTTACAACTCCTCCTGCATGAAGAAGCTCCAGTTCAAACACAAAAGATGGAACTGAGGTCACTAGGGGACACTCAACTTCCCCAGCCAAAGAGGCCCAGATCAGGACACATAAAAGTCCACACCCCATTCTTCTACAGAATGCCAGTGCCCAGGAACCTCCCAGCTGGCACAGGAGTCCCCCTGATTGGCTGACCACCTTTGGAACCCAGCCCCTTTTATTTTCAGCAGTAAACCTGCCTCCTCCAGCACTGCCTACTACCTGAATGGCAGGTGTGTCCAGGTGGGGGTCCTTGAGCCCCCCATCACTAAGCCTGGTGGTGATTTCTGCCTCTGAATATTTCTCCCACCTCTATCCTTCCCCTGCCTTCCTCCGGCTCCCCAGCCAGGAATCCTCTGCACCAGTCAGGCCAGTCCCCCCATTGTTCTTCAACAACACCCTGCTCATTTCCAGAAGCTTCTGTTCAATCTGATACCCACGTCTGGAATGCCCTCCTTCCCTACACCACTTAGCTCTATTTCTTCCTTAGAAGAGATTCCTACCTAGATTCCAAACCTCCAAGAAGCCTTCTCTGGCTACTCCTATCCATCCTGAGCCCACTTCCCGGAGGGAGGAAACACACAGAGGGCCGGGGCGGGCCCAATCCCCTCCTGTGATAGATGAGGAAACTGAGCCCAGGGAGGGGAATATTACACACCTGCAGAACCAGGTCTACGATCAAGACTGTGCTGCACTAATCTGTCCAAGATGCTCTGCCCTTCTTGTCTCCTTTGCCGCGGTAAAATTTTCCAAACCAGCCCGGCCACCCCCAATTGCAGGTAAGCGTCCATACACACTCTTTCCGCTGCAGGTATGTGGACGAGGTGGGAGTGGTCACTCCTCCTCCCCTTCCCCGCTCCTTACGGCCTAGCGCTACTCCTAAAGCAATCAGGAGTCCGAGTCCGGCTTCCTCCGGCCACGTTGGGGCCGGTGACCTTGGCCAGGAGCTCGACGCCCTACTTCCTCGGTACAATGCAGGCGGCAGCTCCTGCGACGTGAGGTGTGAACGCGGTCAGGTCTGTGCCACGCTCGGCACAGGGCCTGGCACAGGCCAGGTGCTCGGTGCGGGCTGTCCCGCGTCGCCACCATCACTCACTGTCCGGCGAGGCCAGCGCCCTGCCGCCCCCGCCGCCCTGGCCCCCAGCCCCTTGCCATTCACGCTGCTGGGCCCCGCGTCCCGGTGCCGCGCCTGCCCGGTGCCCGGTGTGAGGAGCCTGGCGGGCCTGAGGCGGCCCCGGTACCGCTCGCGTCCTCGGCCCGGCCCGCAGGCCCGCCCGTGCACCGACGCGACGGGAGCCCGCGGCGGCCCCTCGCCCACCGCAAAGCCGCGCATTCGCTCCTCACCTGGGCACCCGGAGACAGGCGAGGCGGGCCCGGCGCCCAACACCATGCCCGGCCGGGCGGCGGCGGCGGCGAGACGCGGCCCCTCACAGCCGCACCGGCTCCCGGCGGCGGGACCGGAAGTGGCAGGGCGGGGACTCGGCTGCTCTCGCCCGCTGCGGCCGAGACTGCAGCGGGCGCTTTAAAAAAAAAATTCAAAGCCACGAAGAACTTTATTTGGAGCCTGACACGCGAACAGCGGCGTGCGCCGGCTCGGGGCTGGGCTGGGCAGGGTGGAGGACGGCTAGGACCTCGCTCATTGGTGGAGGGGGCATTGGGAGGCGGGCACGCATTTCGCGGCCCCCGCTGATTGGAGAGTGGTGGCCTGGGGCGGGGCCTCCGAGTTTGCTCGGGAGCGGGAGTGGCCGAGCGCCGGGGCCTCTTCCTCGCGTTCCTACCTCGGTGCCCTTAGTGGTCTGAGCAGCGTGGGGGCCAGAGGGGCCCGGCGTCGCCCGTCCTGGAGGAGCCGCCAGGCCGCAACCGACGGCCTCCACGGTGGGGGGCTCCCGCTATGCGTCCAGCACGGGGCCTGCAGCGCGCAGGCATGAGGGGCCCGGGCCGGCAGGCGGGCGACCCGCAGCCCCCGGTGAGCTTCGCGCGGGCCCGGGAGACGGGCGGCCCCTCTGCTGTTCTCATCACTTTCATGCCTTCCTTTACCTCTTGCATATGTTTAACACGCTTCCTTTGAAAATCCGTCTAGAGTGTTCTATTCCCAGCTTTCGGAGCACAAATTCCTGTCGCGCCCACTGTCGTTGAGCGATTGGCGGTGGGCCCTGTGGGGGTCAGGCGAGCCTCCGGGAGGGGTGGGCCAGCAGGCGGACGGGGTTCACCGCGGAGACGGGCAAGAAAGAGCCAAGGAGTCAGACTTTCATTTCCAAAACCCCATTGACAGCTTTTAAACAGCGGAGTGACAATATTAGGTTTTCTGTCTAATAAAGAGCTGGTGGCAGGGGAGCCAGGCGGAGAAGAGAGGTGAGTCAGGAAAACCGGTTAAGAACACAACTCATGTTATTCCTTCTGTTTGGGAACACGTCTTAGACACCACTTTCTCAGAGGCCTTAAAGTCTGGGGGTGGGGTGGAGTGGGCGGTACAGGTGCCCTCTGTCCTCATTGGAGCCCTGCACTGCCCCCGTCCTGGTGCTCAGAATTTATTGTCGTTGCCTGTTTCCCTGGCTAAGCTCAGTTCCTCAGCCCTCCTCACCTTCTTCATCCTCCTACCACCCCCTTCCCATCTGGGACATAAAGGTGATCGAAATACATCTCCTGGATAAATATTACTTGAGCTTGTTGCCTGAGTCCTGGCAAGACAAGATAAGGGCGTGAAGCAAGGCAGTGGTTGAAGGTACAACTGAAGTGGCTTGAGCATTTGTCTCACTGAGGGTCACTGTCTGCAGAATGGGCTGTACCACACATTGGCCCACATGGGCCCAGAGTTCACCATCGCAGATAAATGAAGTCATTTCTGTCTCCATTTTGTGAGACTGCCTTGTGCCTTCACCTTAGACTTATTTAGGGCTCACTAGGTTATTGACCATTTAATCCTCACAATAACCCCATGAAACAGGTATTTTATTATCCCCATTTTATAGATGAGGAAACTGAGGCACAGTCTGCCCCACACAACAGAGCTGGCATTTGAACCCAGGCAGTCTAACCCTGGGATTTGTCCTCGACCAGCACACCGTGGCCTTGAGGCAGCCAGTGATGCCAGCAGCAAGGGAAGAGGCTAAACTGGTCCCCAGAGGAAGACTTTGTCTTCATACAGGGCTCCTTCAGAAAGCAAACCTGCACTACCTTAAGCACAAAAGACTCGGAAGACGGATGTGTTCACAGAACCTAAGGAGGTCAGCTCTCAGGACCTTGGGAGTGCTGGGAGTTTATTTTCTGCAGGCCTCACCCGAGTCCTGGCCTCTGGGCTGGCTTTGTCCTCCCAGATGCCTCTATGGAGCTAGGGCCCGGCCTCAGACTCATCTTTGCAATCCAGGGAATAGAGGGGGCCAGCTGCCCTTCACTCGCATTTCACTTTTTCTGGAAGGGACTGACTGGGCTTGGGTCACACACCCACCGCATGTGTGGGGGTAAGGGATAGAGATTCAGCTGTGAGCCTCACGTAGGAGTGTTGTTGCCAGAGGAAAGGCAGGTGGCAACAACCTACCAATTGTGTCCTCCCCATTCCCTCCATCCCTCCCCCTTGAAGTTCAACCCCAGAGACTTCCAGCTGGGCTGTGGAAGGGGTGATGTTGCCTGTTTTCAGCTAGGCCTGCCTCTGAACACAGCTGCAAGGCCTGTCCCAGCTCTGGCCTGGAGCAGCCCGCCAGCTGATTAAGAACAGCAGATGCAAGGGCCAGGGTACCTGCTGGGTTAGGGAAAGTTCTCCTAGGCAGGAAAGGTCACCTCTCCCAGCATCTTAAGCTGCCATAAAATAGAGACTAGGTGGCTTAAACAGCAGACACTTACTTTCTCACAATCTGGAGGCTGGAAGTTCAGGATCAAGGGCCAGCAAGGTAGGTTTCATTCTGAAGCCTCCTCTTACCTGGCAGGCAGCCACCATCTGGTTGTGTGCTCACAGGGCCTCTTTGTGCTCTGGGGGACAGAGCGCACTCTGGTGTCTCTTCTTATAAGGACACGCATCCTATCCGATCAGAGCCCCACCTTTATACAGCCTCATTTAACCTTAATGACTTAGAGGCCCCATCTCCAAATACAGCCGCTCTGGGGGTTAGGGCTTCAACATATGGATTATTGTGTCCGTAACACCCAGTCACGCCCTGGAGGGGCACACCTTCCTTAACCATCCATTCCGCTCTTCCCACCTGCCCTCACTGCGTGGGGGGCTCCCCAACATTCATTCCCCACCACGGTAGGCATTCCTGGCTCTGGGTTTCAGGGGAGGATTGGCCCCCAGAGGTGGAAGAATCTGCAGTCTGGGCAAGCCAGCATCAGAACCAGGCCCACCGGGTGCAGTGCCCGGCCCGAGTGGTGTTTTAAATCTTATTATAGAGGCCCCCCTTCTTCCAGACACACTGTCCTTCCCCCCAGCAAGACCTCAGTGGTGCTCCAAACATAACCCCTTGTTGCATGGACTGGGAAACAGCCCAGGAGACACTAGATGTGGAGTAGATATGGGAAGACAGTTGCAACTCAGCCTTCAGCAGGCACCCGCTCCACCTGTTCTGTGTTGTTCTAGATTATTCCAGCACCTGCTCTCCAGCCAGGTCTCGTGCTTGCAGAAAGTAGGGCCCAGGACACTCAAGTGCAGCTGGACAACACAGACCCTGTGTCCCTGTGGAGTCCTCCAAAACTATTTTAATGCAAGTCAAGTACTATACAGTGGGAATCTATCAAGGGGTGAGCGCCGTAAGGCGGCAGCATGTATAGGGCAGACCATGCCCTGCGAGAGCTGAGCTCGTGGGAGAAAGCAGCGCTTTGTAAATCGCTATGGAATGGGGGCAGGAGTACAACTGTGACCCCCAAGGTTTGCTACAGGGAGGAGTGAACAAAGCCTCCACTACCCAACTGGAGATGAGGGATCGGGACAGGAGGGAACGAGAATACCTCTGCTGACCATAAGCCTTGCCTCAGAATCCAACTGGGAAGTGAAACACAAATGTCAAAAATCCAAGTTCCTACTGGTTTTTCTGTTACTAAAAGTGGAGACAGGTAAATGGTGCTCGTTAGGAAAGGCTTTAATGGGCCTTGGCGGGCAAAAGGGAGGGCCCCAGGGCCTAAGCCGGAGAGAGGACAAAGATGAGACCAAAATGTGACTGGAAGTGGTTGTGGGTGCTGGGAGGCTCTCAGCGGCAGAAGCTGAGGTGACACCCAAGACCCAGCTCTGGGATCCCCCAAGGCATGAGGACGGGACAGATGTCTGCAGTTGGGCCAGAGGCTTGAATTATCACCATCATCATTATTATTATTTGGTAAGGGACTATCCAGGGAGCAGATGATTAAAAATCCTAAGTAGTGTGGCTTTGATTACATGTCCAGTGTGATTAAGTTTTGACTGCGCCTCTAACTGGCCTCCAGGGAATACTTCGTTGCTTCATTTCTTTAAAAAAATAATAAAATGGACTGCGATGGTTTTGTTGGAGAGGGACTGAATCAGAGTGGTGTTTTAAATCTTATTATAGGCTTGAGATTGTCATCGTTTACCCTAAAGCAACACTGGGCCCATTTTAGCAAGGCTGTTGTTAAAATGGTATGGTTGGCTTGTAAATGCGCCCCATGGTCCCTGCTGTCCCTTCCTTCTGCAAGCTGCACTTTCTCTGGTTCTGCCCCTTCCCGGCTGCCCACCAGGTCACCCCAGAGCCGGCAAACCCTACGGGAACACCTTACGTGAGAGGAGCCGCCTTCCTCCAGAGCCTTTTTGCTTTTACTTTCTTGCGGAAATGGATTGAAATTGTCTGCCTTTGTCACGTTCCCCGCCATTATGCATCACGTGTTCTTTCGTCTTAGTCACTAACCAAGGTCAGTTCATGTTTCCAGGCGTTTCTGTGCAACCAAAGGTGAGCGCTACCTTTCATGGCTTAGCTCTGGGGGAGGACTTGAGCAGTGGCTGTGCGCTGTGTGGCCCAGGTCACTCCACGTGCGGTGGGCTGAATGACGGATCCCCAAACACATCCTCCTCCTGACTCTGGAACCTGTGAGTATGTTACTTCCCTTGGCAAAAGGGACTTTGCAGATGTGAGTAAATTGAGGGTCTTGAGATTATCCCGGATTAGCCAGAGGGCTCCAGTACAATCACAAGGGTCCTTCCGCGACGGGGGCCGGAGATCAGTAGCAGGAGATGTGAGGCTGGAAGAGAGGTCGGGGTGATCTGAGGAAGGGGCCCAAGCCACGGGATGCAAGTGGCCTCTAGAAGCCGAAAAACGCAAGGAAATCCATGTTCCCCCGAAGCTCCCCAAATGATCGCAGCCCTGCTGTCATTAGGGGCTGAATCGTGCCCCTCTAGATTCATACGTTGAAGTTCTAACTCCAGTACCCCAGAATGTGACTTTACCTGGAGACAGGACATTTTCAAAAGGTAATTAATTAGGTTAGAATGAGATCATTAGAGTGGGCCCTAACCCAATATGGACTGGTGTTCTTACAAGAAGAGATTAGGACCCAGACACACACACAGAAAACCAGGTGAGGGCACAGGA